TTGGAGAACCTGACGGATACCCTTAAGGTTGTGCACAACGTCTCGCCCGACGAAGTCCGGAAACACTTGGAGAATTGGATCCCGGCGGCCAAAGCAGAAGTAGATGCTTTAGAGTCTATGAAACGGATTAGAAGGCTTCGGGGATCAGAAGTAGCTGAGGCGATGTCGCGACCTGGCGTGCAGGTGCTTCCCGCCAAGACCGTTTTCACAGTGAAGCCGGGAGCAGACACTGCATGGTTTCGTAGAAAATGTAGAGTGGTAGGCTGTGGGAACTTTGAGGAGAAGGACCCCGGACTAGAATTGTACGCGGGCGGTGTTCCGGCCGAGGCCCTTCGCACGATTTTGGTAGAGGCAGCTGTCCGGAGGTTCCTTGCCTTCGTAACAGATATAAAGAACGCTTTCTTACTCGCCCCATTGCCTTTGAATATGGCTGGCAGAATACTGCTTAAACCCCCACGTCTGCTCGAGCAGATGGGAATCACAACTCCCGACGAATACTGGGAAGTTTGCAAGGCAGCTTACGGCTTGAGGCAGAGCCCGAAGTGGTGGAGCGATTATAGGGATTCAGTGCTTAGACAGGCGTCTTGGGAAGGTGAGTCCGGAGTAATCCGGTTGCAGCAGTCCAGTGCAGAAGGAAATGTTTGGAAAATGATAAACTCTGAAGATCAGGTTGTGGGTTTTGTTATCATTTACGTAGATGATATGATGTTTTTGACTACAAAACTTGAAGCCGAAAAGGCCTATGCCTGGTTGAGAAGTGTATGGCAGTGCACTCCTTTGGAGGAAGCAACCCTTTCCAAACCAATCACCTTTCTGGGTGTCGAAATAAGCATTGGCCAGGATGCTGATGGACGCCAGGGCTTCTTAGTCTTGTTAGGCCAAAGGGGTTACATAGATGAGCTCTTGAGAATGTACGATCTTGAACCAAAGCATCGCACACCGGTTCCCCGTGAATGGGTAAAGGAGGCTCCGGAACTTGAGGAAGGATTCGCAGTCGAGACTCTGCGACGAGCACAGCGGATCACAGGCGAACTGCTTTGGCTCACGCAGAGAACGCGTGTGGACGCAGCGTACACTGTGTCTCTTATGGGCTCATGGTGTTCAAAGGCACCAGAGCATGTGATACGCCTTGGCAAGCGCTTGTTGCATTTCTTGGGTTCGACAAAGGATTGGAAGCTTTCATTAATCCCAGTTGAAGGGGAAAAGAGGGTGGTGGTGTACACCGATGCATCATTTGCACCGTACGGGTCCCACAGCATCACCGGGGTCCTGGTTTCATACCATGGAAGGTCAGTTGCATGGAAGGCAAAGAAGCAAGCCTTGGTGTCATTATCGACGGCAGAGTCGGAGTTGATTGCTGCTTGTGAAGGAGTGGTGATGGGTCAAAGCTCAGAATCGTGCAATAGCTCTAGTCGAGGGTTCGGGTTCTCAGCGCACTAGGCACCTTAGGGTAAGGTCAAACTTCGTGAGGGATCAGGTTGAAAGAAAGGAGCTAGTGGTTGATCACTGCCCAGGTGAGCAACAGTTGGCTGATCTGTTGACCAAGGTTCTGGCAGGGCCGAGGCATCAATTCCTAGCATGCTTAATTGGATTAAGTGTAGACCCTATGCCCATGCAAGTTGCCGCAGTGGCCCCAGGAGCCATTCCGATAACAAACCCGGAGCTTAGGGCCAATAGGATCAAGCTGGTTCTGTTGGTGCTAATCATGCAAATGATAGAATCCGAGGCTACTGAAGATGATGAGGTCAGCGAGCCATTGAGTTTGGAATTGTCAGCAGTGGCGATTATGATGATGTTGTCGGTTTTGTTTCTTTGGGAAACGGGCAAGTACTGCATGATAAAGTGCTGTAGAAGCGAGGACCCGAGGATACGTTCCTTGCGGCATGAGGATGATGATGAAGTTCAGGTTGAAAGGTCAAGGAGACAAAGGCGGCAGGAGGCAGTGAGGCGTGCAATTGAGTCTGAAACCGATGAGCAGGCTTTAAGGACGAGGAATGTTTATTATTCGGATCATAATGCCTCATCTTCCACTGTCCCACCAGTCGTACAAGTTAATGTTGGAGATAGGTGGGAGGTTGAACGAAACCCACCGTTACCTAGGTTTGCAGAGGCAGGTACCAGCGCAGCTTCGGCTTTTACCGCTGTCCCTGAGCGGCAACCTGACCAGTCTCCAGCACCACCTCCTACCGTACCATTTGGACTTCGTGGTGACACCCAAGCCACTGTTTCCTCTGCTGACCCAATTGGATTTCATGGGAAAGCGATTCCTTTCTCCTCTTCTACAACGCCAGTTGAATTCCCAGGGAGATCTGACCCTTCATCTTCCTCTACGGCCCCGGTTGGATTTCTTGGGGAACCGAATACTCCCTCTCAGGAGGTGTCAGCCTCAGCCCGAGGTACACAAGTTTCTGTTCCTAGCCGGGAAATTGCCGTACAAACTGATTTTCCCAGGGGTCTAACGCATCTTGACATGCGCGAGATACAGATGATTACTACAAATAGTAGGACCCCTGGAGCCGTGCATCTATTTCCTGAGTGTCAGGCATTGAGAGGTGTTTCAAGCGTTAGTAGGCGATCTTTCTGTAGGTACTGCCTCTTAGCAGCCGAACGCTCGGGAATCTGAGGGAGTGAAAGCACTCTCACAGAGGCTTTCAAGGAGGAGTGTAGAGTTCCCTATGCGTACATAGCTCTACGTGTAGGTAGTAGCTCCACTTCTATTCAGGCTTTGATAATGTTGAATTCGTAGCCTTGAAGGCTCGGCATGCCATGATCGGCAGAAGCCACAGCTTAGGACAGAGTCCAAGCATGCAAGATGTGAACATCGCATGTAGTGTGCAACATACGCCCTGAGGGCCATGATAACACACAACAGGTCTGCGAATAGTGAAAAGAGGTAGTGAGCCCATGGACGTTTGCCTCCTGTCTCGGTCGTGACCTTGACTACCAGTCCAACAACAGGTCTATGGCAACCTCGTCAGACAACCCCAATTCGAATGGTCAAGATGATGATCAACAGGGTTCTATTATAAAGGGTTTAGGGACTTGGGAGTTTCCGAAAATAAGGAATAGTCCATAAATCATATTAAGGATCCTACTATAATTTAAGGTATAGTCCTTAATTAAGGGATCTTGGAGTCTCCGGGGGGGGGGTTCCGAAAATAAGGGACCCTAATATAGTACCCTACTTGGAGGGGCAGGGGACTTAGTAAGTAGGTTATAAGTAGGGTTATAATTAGGGTAACTCCATTTAGGGTACTTATAACTCTACTTATAACCTACTTACTAAGTCCCCTGCCCTTCCAAGTAAATAGTAGGATCCCTATTAGAAGGACTCCCGAATAAGGTACCCCTATTTTCGGAAACTCCCACTTTGCAGCGGCAATGTGGAGGAGTTTCCGAAAATTAGGGGTGCCTTATTTTGGGGTCCTTATACTAAGGATCCTTCCATGTGGAGGAGTTGGAGTCGTTTTGGGGGTTTAGGGTTTGGGGTTGTGCATTTCGCTCGGATAGAGTGCACCGTGGCTGAGATAGATTGTATGCCTAAGCCCCTTGAAAGTGGGTAAACGAATAGTGGCCTAACACTTGTAGATGGCCATTGTTCTGCATACATTTTGGGTCCGGGTATGTGTTATTTCCACTGTACCGCGGCCTGCCTAAGACTCTTTGGGAGTGTGAACTGGGGGTGTTTTTATGGGGATACAAGAAACGCAACCCCGTTCTTGGGTCAATCCCTGTTACCTACACTGGGCATGCATGCACGCACAGTAGCTGTATAATTTCAGGCGGGTTTACCTAAGCCGAGACCACCGAAAAACAACAATGCTTGCCTTACAACCATATAAACCTCTTTACCGCCCTGTTTCCAGTCCTTGCAAAACCTTCTTGATTTAGGTTCAGTCCTCGCTTTGGTCGTTTGCTTGTTGTACTTAAGCTGTCTGTATGGGTTCCACAAGGTTTCTCTAAAGGTGGTTTACAACGATTTAGGGTCCAAGGGTCCATGTATATCCTTAGCAGGTTCCTTTGGGGGTTCCTTGGAAGTTTGGTTTGGTTTTGAAAGGCCTTAGTACGTAGTAGTATAAGGTGTTGCAGGGGGATCTACCTATATAGCATATACTTTGTCCTCATGGTGCCGGACAGACCTGCAGGGTATCGGGTCTGGGTATCCAGGTTTGGCTTTCATGCTAAAGTGCACACGGTCGAGAAAACTTGCAACAATTTCAATAACAAGCCTTCACGCGATTATAGCACAACGCATCCCGGCAAGCGGAACCACCCACCCCGGACATGTCTTGTGGTTGTGCTGCGATCACCGATTGTCTTTTTCGGTTTACGGCTTGCAATCAACCTGTTTATTTGGCCTAAGCTAAGCGCTAAAACAAGCGTTTCGGGCATTTTCGGTATGTAGAAGATAGATCCAGAGCGATTGCTGCACATGCTCCCGAAACCTTATAGACGCGTCATAGAATCATAGGTGTCTTACAGCACCGTTATGCCATAAAGCAATGTATGAAGCTTTCACAAGGACTCTACAGAGTTCTGTGAGATTACATATTTTTGCCCCGAAAGGACAGCTTTGTCCCGGCATCCTGTAGGCATAAGCCCAGGTTCGGGTTTCGGGGTTCCCAGAGACTCCAATATCCCTTAATTATGGAAGATTCCTTACATCATATTAAGGGTCCTACTATAATTTAAGGTATATTCCTCAATCACGGGATATTGGAGTCTCTGGGTTTACGGTTTGGATGTTGGGAGACCTACTAATTAATGGTGATCGTCCCGTTTCCTACACAGCAACGGTCAGGTAGGTTTTTGAACTTTTAACCCAGGCTTGGTTCGGATTTCCGGAAGAATAGGGCGCTATTAACAAGCACGTTGCGCCGCTTGTATCACTGCAAGGTCCTTACCAAACCCAGCAAAATCTTGGGTGCTTGACCATATCCCTAAACCCCGAACAAACTAAAGTTGCCCTCACAGATACACCTTCTGGTCGCTGAGCTAAGGCGACGTATCCTGAACAAAGGGGCTTTGCAGGTTGGCGGCCTCGTCGATGCATTGTAGGCCGCTGCAGAGAAAACCCAGAGGGTCCATGTGGGTGGTTGTCAAAATGATGGTCCCTCTTGGTTACCCTAGATATTAGGTGCCGTATTACAATAAGGATCCAAAAGGGGACCCTAATATTGCGACAACCACCCATATAGACTATACCATTCCGGAGTTACCTCCCAAAAGAGAATCCCCATTACGTTGTTGACCGTCTTGGAATCGGAAGAAAACTTTAACCTCGTGTTGCCCCAGCTTCCCAGACAGTGGGGGTGTATGAATAATTTTGTAAATTGATGTTGAGCTCTGCTTCGTCTGGATAACCCTAAAGCCTAAATTGCCCTTCAACTACGCTCGGCCATTCTGCTACGACTGCGGCCCACTCCGACGTAGCGGGATCTTTCTGTGTGCGGCTCCTGTTTGGTGCCGCAGGGCAATAGTCAGAAGGCAGGGGTTGCCAGGCGAAGACAAGAACATGATCGCACTATCAAGGTGACGATCGGAGCATTGCGAGTAGCAGCGAGCAGCAACACCGCCATCAGCAGCTACAATTGCCCCCCTGCAGCAGCAGCAGCAGCAGCAGCAGCAGCAGCAGCAGGACCACCACCACCACTACTACCACCACGACGCTAAACCTTTGATCGCAAACCCTTAACCCCTAAACCCTAAACCCTAAACCCCTAAACCCTAAACCCTAAAACCCTAAACCCTAAACCCTAAACCCTCAACCCTCAACCCTCAACCCTCAACCCTCAACCCTGAACCCTGAACCCTGAACCCTGAACCCTGAACCCTAAACCCTAAGCTAAGAAGAAGCTGCCAGCCCCACATGCCCGAGCTCTGGAGCAGGAGCCGCAGTTAGAGACATTTTTTTAAAACAAAGCTAATGTAGGGGCCTGAATAGTTGGTTTAGGGTTCCTTTGAAGGGTTCCTCAAAGGGATACTATAAGGGTTCTATATGCGGTTTAGGGATATAGGCGCCTGAATAATTAGAATAGGATTTTGGTGGTTCCTTATTATAGTTATAGTATAATTTTCTCTAAACCCTACTCTGATGATAAGGCCTCTACATCAGGTCTTGCAATGATGGTTCGAGGCTTCTTGTGGTACAGTCAGGTGTCCGGCGTCGAGCGCGAAAGGCCCACCGTGTCAAACCCGAACCATGATCTGAAAAGTCCACGATCTCGTTTTTAAGCAGTGGCTGCTTCCAGGGTGCCAAAGTGTCACGGCCTGCACCCGGACTTGCACCAGTGCGTTCACAGAAAAACCTGTCTCGCTTTCCTTCTTGAGAGCCTGGCCAGGTGCTTGTTCAGAGATTAGTGGCATATATATATATATATATATGTCTTTATCTCCAGATGTACAGAATATATATATATATATATATATATATATATCTATATATATATATATATATATATGTCTTTATCTCCAGATGTACAGAATATATATATATATATATATATACACACATAAAACACATACATACATACATACATATATATATATGTATATATTTCGAACTGCAGCTTTGCATCGATTCCCTGCGACAGCCTTGCGATGATGTGGTATGGGTCTTGGGTCTGGTGGTTTGCCTGTTTGTAGTGTGGTGTTGTAGCAAGCACGCAGGGGAGTCAGATGTCTTGAGAGACGCACAAATTGACAAATTTAAGATACGTTGTATCTTGCTGCTTTGCTCACGTGTTACCTGCCATGCAGTCGCCAGACTCGCCATGCGGGAGCCAAAAATATGTATATATTTATAGATATGTTCATTTATGTAGATGTGTGGGTGCTAACCTGACGGCTACCATACACACGTGTGTATGTATATATATATATATATGTATATATCCGTGTCTACCTCATCTCCCTAGCTCTCTACACATACATGTTTAGCAGCATGAGCTGCTTATTGACTGTGCATTTTTTGTACATCTGCAGACCTGTCCGTAATGCTTCGTCGTTGGCCTTGCCTCTGTGGTTCTTCTTGGATCTTTGAAGGCCGTGGTCCCAACGTGCCTTCTCTGAGCCCTTCTACAGTAGAAGCCCAAAAGTTGGAGACCCAATAGCCCTAATCCTTAAGAGTAATGCATAGGGAACCCCAGCACTATTTGGACTTAATCCGATTTCCAACTTTGCGGAGTTTACTGTATAAGTTTGTGTTCCTGGCACCCTTAAACGATGCCCTCTAGAAGCCTTGGCACTCTATAACCCTCACAGGAAGCTGTATCGAATCCTTTCAGGCACCCTCAGAGGAACCTTTTTGAGTCGGAGCTTCGCAGCAGGCCTTGAAATCTGGCAGCCGCTCTTGAGCCCAAGGTTTGAAATCACCTGACTTCTGCAGATTTCTTGGGCCCCCCTCGCATCCATTGCCCCGCATAAACGAGGACCCTATGACTGTAATTACTTAGGACCCTGCTTCTTGTTGGCAGACCACCGGTGCTGCACAAGCCCATAATTATGTCGCGACAGGTTTTGCTTTGTATGGTTCGAGCATGTTCGAGTATAACCCAGTAGTGGCACTGGATGTAGACCCCGGATGCTGCACGCCCTTCGTGGAAACCTTCCAACTTGCCTAAGGGTTTAGGTCTGGAACGTTTGCAGTTTATCCAAGGGTGAAAGGAGGGACCCTTAATAAGGACCCCTATAGGTATATACCCTAATACAGCTATTATATACCATTATATAGCCCATGATAGGGTAGGGATCCCCATTAAAAGTCCCTCCTTTTCCCCTTTGATTTTAGGGCTGTAGCCATGCCCGCCGTCTCCGGTGGTCATGGGCGCCTCCTGGTGTGTTTGGCTTTACTGCTGGCTTTGGCGGATGTGCCGCTGGGTGTGCAAAGTGAGCTGTGGGTTTTCACTCGAAGGTGGTCTTAACTGTCAGCCGTAAATCCTAAACACCAAAGTCTAGCCCCACGCCGTCTTAGACTCTAAACCCTAAACCCTTAGCAAGGAGAGACAAACCCTAAACCCCTCCCTGAAACCGATCCGACCCTTCAAAACCACCTCAGATAAGGCCCCCCTTGGGGGGGGCAGGGGACTTAGTAAGTAGGTTATAAGTAGGGTTATAATTGGGGTAACTCCATTTAGGGTACCTTATAACTCTACGTATAACCTACTTACTAAGTCCCCTGCCCTTCCAAGCAAGCCCTCCAAAAGCCAAAGAACACCCTCACTAACAAACCCGTATAATGCCCTTGGAGACTGCATGTAAGTACCGTAATAGATCCTTACATGCTTCGTAAATATTTAATATGAGCCCTAAAGTGCAAGTTGTCCGGATTGCAGGTCTTTCTGACTGTATCAGCGCCTGGAAAAAAGCATGTTAAAACGCAAACTAGCCCTATGAACACCAAAGACTCGGTACTTCGACTCGACTGCTTGTAGTTACTTGCTTGCCACTCCGGTAAACCCTGAGCCCTAAACCCGAAGCCCTACACCCTAAACTGTCCCCGGAGGCCTTTCCGAGCCTTCAATGCCACGGAAGCAGGGGGCGATGGCCAGCCAGGAGCGCCTCAAGTATTTCAACCGGCTTTCTTAAGGATTCCTTTCAGGTTTATGGGATCCGTTAGGGGATTCCTAGCGGAATCCTTTAAGGGGTCCTTCTAAATAAATCGATAAGGGCTATCACTGTAAAGGTTTAGAAAAGGGCCATTAGAAATTCGAATATAGGTTTTTGGGGTATAGTGTAGTGTGTGTTCACATTAGGGTTCCTATTTGTAGGGTTCCTTTCTGTATAAACTACAAACCCTATTCCAACCATTCCAGGCCCCGACTCTGTCATACTGATGTTGATCGGTTGGCTTCGGGATTACTGTACACTGTACTCCTAACGACATGCTATTTGGGCTTGTGGTTAAGGCTTTCGGATACAATGCTTAATTGTGGACTTGAGAAATTATGGTGGTTTCGGAAACCTTTTGTTGATGCACGCCCATGCTTTCACCGTCCAGTGGAGTTTTGCATGCAAGGCCATCAGATCATCAAATACACCAACATTCGGCACCTCCAGGAAACGGACATTGAAGTACGGCACTAGGTGGCTGGACTAGCTGGTGGCAGAAGAAGGTGCGCCGCGATTGACTTGAAACATCGGTTCTTCGGAATCTTCCCTGTTCGCGTCAGTAATCACGCATTAAACTGTACTGTTGTGTTGAAGCCCGTAAGCGGTGTTGCTCAAGTAGAGCTCCTGCTAGTGCTATTCGGGCTTGATCCTCAGTTTTCGCGTTCTGCTCAGGAGTTTGATGCAGAAGCGAGAGCTTAATCTGAAGCCCATGGGTAGTAGGATCCTTACTGTAAAGACCTCTGAATAAGTATGGGGACCCTAGAAGTCAAACAAGCCCTGATTCCAGGACGGAGAAGACCGCGAAATCGCAGGCATCGCGACTTCTCGAAAATGCCTGCGCAGATCTTGCACCCGCCCGGCGCCCGAAAATTTGCAATCGGTTGGAATAGTTGCGGGCATTGGATTCGTTCTGTAAGTTCGGGGCGAACAAAGTTTTTTGGGTGTGTTTTTCTTCAGCGTCCCCATATCTTGGTCGAACCTTTGCCTGAGTTGCTTGGGTGCGAGTGCCGAAAAGCCGTGCCACGGGGATTCAACTCCTAGCTAGAGTTTAGGGAGTAGTTTGGATGTATATAGGGTTTACGGTTTAGGATTCAGGGCTCAAGAGGTTCTCTTTGTTTGCTGTTCACTGTTGTTTCATGCCTGCCATGAGCCTAGGACCCAGAGTAGGCCCTGATTCCTTGTTTTAGGGTTCATAACCCCATTTAAACCAAAAAGGGCACCCCTTTTTATTCCGAGGTTACTCTTATAGGTCGAGCTGCTGTTCCATACTGCCGCTTGCACTGTTTGTGTGCAGCCGACATGTCGTGAGTCCTGTGCATTCGTCTTCAGGCTTGCCATGTGGGTAGTTGTTTAAATTCGGTTCCCTCTTGAGGTCCCCAAAGTAGTACGGCACCCTTATAAGAAAGGACCCTAATGTGCAGAACTACCCAAGTGGGAGCCAAGCAGAA